GGGAGCCCGATGCGGGACTCGATCCTGGGACTCCAGGATCATGACCTGAGCCGAAGGCAGCTGCCCAACCAACTGAGCCACCCAGGCGCCCCAGACCAGGATTTCTGAGGTAGGGCTGTACATTCTTCCTCAGACTGTGCTCTGAAAGCCGGTATCTCCCACGTCATAGTGGAGCCTCCTAAAGATGGCTCCCTTTCCCCCAGGTTCTCCCAGGGGCCAGGCAGTGCCCGCCTCCAGCCCACTAGACTCACCGGAGATGCTCCTGATGGCGCCCCCATCAAGGAAGGCATGGCTGGTGGACTGAGTGGGGAAGTTGTAGTTGGGGATATGGGCAAAGGAGGACCCAGTCCGGGCCTGAGTAGGGTCAGGGCCATAGCGGTCTACAGCCCCACTGCCCCTGAAGTCCCTTTCCAGGCCAACATCCTCCTTGAGCCCCGGCTCCAACTTCTTGCAGAACACACAGCCCATTCCAGGCGCCCTGCTACAGAACGGGGTATGGCTCACTCTGGGGCCCCTGCCAGATAGGCCCCCCACGTACACGTGCACACACACACTCACGCAGGCATGCAGTTGCCCTCTCGGGGTCCTCCCCGGTGAAGGGTAAAGGTGAGGCAAGGCTACCTTTGGGTCTCCCTCCCAGCGGCTGCCATATGTTTGCAGAGAAAATGTATACCCTTCGTGGGCTGGTTTTCTGCCTTGGGATGCTGCTGTGTTTATTGATAATCTATTTTTGCCTCCTCTTGCTTCAATACGTTGTGTTTTTGTGACTTCTTCAGAGGCTTGCATATGCGTGTCTTTTGTGTGTCTCTAAGTATTTGTGAGTTTGCCTGTGGGTGTGTCTGTGTGTGCAGCCTCCCGTGAATGTCTGTGTGTCTGTGTGAGTATGAGTGTGGGTACATGTCTCCGTGCATGTGATGGCTCTGCGTGTGTTTGTGTCTTTCTGTGGAAGTGTGTACGTGTGTTCCTGTGTGTGTGTGTGTGTGGATCTCTGTGCGAGTAGGTGCCTCTGTGTCGGTGTGTATGACCACGTGCATAGCCCCGTGTGGGTGCATACGCGCCTGTCTGTGTGTGTGTATCTGCGTGAGTATGCGTGACTGTCTGTGTGTGTGTGTCTCCCTCTGTGTCCGTGCATGTCTAGGTACCGAGACATGTTTGTGTGTGAGTGTGTGTGAGGGCTCTTTGTGTCTGCACCTGAAGAGTCCCTGCAGAAGGGGATCAAGGCCATTTCCTGTTGTGGGTCCAGCCTCTGGCCTCTCAAGCTGTCTCTCTGTGGCTCCCCCATCTGTTACCTAGCAACAGGGCTCTTGGAGGAGGAGGGGGCTGTGATGAGTTGTGGGGCTCAGGAAGGCCACCTCACCCCCTTTCCTGACCCTGAAAGCCCTCCGTCCCCACTCTCCCCACTCACCCTTCAGGCCCCTACTCCTGGGTCAGCAGGGCTGCGGCATGGTCCTTGGGAGGGGCCCGAGACCTGAGGGCGAGAGAGAAGGACATGGAAGATGAAGCCTCGGCCAAGGTTCCTGCAAGCCAGCTGTCAGCTGCTGCCCTCTTCAGGAAGCCAGGCCTGGGCTCGGTCCCAGCATGACTTCTGCCTCCATTTTCCTTCCCACCGCCCCTGGCGAACTTACACATCTACCCTCACACAGGACACACCACCCACACCAACTCTCTCACACTCATATCCACCTGATACACCAACTCACCAACACACACCAGCACACAGTCACACACCCACACCCACAGCATACACTTGCACGAGTGTGCTCACCAACAACACCAGCACACTAACACAAACGAACTCTCACACAAGCCCAAGCTCGGATGCACAGGCACACACACACACGCATACGTAAGCACACGCGCTGCCTCTGAGGGTGACAGACTCCTACTCAGATACTTATCTTTTTGTGTTAGACCCACCGCTTTCATTGGATTTCTATCAAGCCATGCCCAGCTCACTCACAGGCCCCCTCCCCCCCAGTCACCGGCTCCTAAAAGCGAGCCTTCCTCTGCATACTGCCTCTGCTCCCACCCCGGGCTCCGCAAGCCCCCACAGCCCCAGGGTTACGGCTGGTGGCAAGGTGAAGGTGGACACCTACCTCCAGAGCTCGCTCCTATCCCCACACCAGGTAAAGCCCCAGGTCAGAAGCCAGGGCTTTGGGGAGGATCCCTTGGGGAGCCTCCACGCGAGCCGAGACTTTCCTGAAAGCTATGTCCTCTGAGCAACAGGGCAGGCAGATCATTGAGCAAGGCCCCACCAGAAACTCTGCCATTGCAACACTTAGAGAGGAACTGCTGGGGAGAGGGTTTCTTAAGATGTGAGAGGAATGGAGAGTGGTAGGGTGGGGCCAACCCAGTGAACCCTGATTTCCCCCAGAGGGGCTAAGGACCCTTGTGACAGGTATCCCCGCCTTGCCTTTCTTGACACCCAAGTCCAGTTCCCTTATGGACATCCTCCTCCTCTTCTCTCTGGGTCCTGCTCCTCCTACTGAGTATACTCACCTCTTCCAGGAAGCCTTCCCGGCTCCAACCAGATCCAGCTGCCTAGCCGATGGCTCTGTCACATCAGTGCCCTGACCTCTACTCTAGACCCACCAGCCCCTCTCGCTCGTCACTGTAACTGTTCTCTGGTGTGTGTAGGGGAGTGACACCCATCTGGTGAACGGCGAGGCGGGCTGTGGTGAGAGCCCTAAAATAGCCTATGTTCACTAAGCCATTGCTGTGATCTTCACCTCGGGACCCCTCCCCTGGGGTGCAACCACTGTGTCTGAAAGGCTCCAAGACGCTGAGGGCTGGTCAGGGCCAGGGAGAGGATTCAGGTGGAGGTGGGGGGCATCCAGGATGCAGGGCACGAAGGGATTTCAGGCACCGAGGGGACAGATGGGGGTAAGATGAAAACAAAGTTACAGGGTGAGAATGGAGGTCTTCTCACGGGAAGACACCGACCCATCGCGAACGGCACACAGGGCCTACACCCAGATGCACACAGCCCTCCTGACACATTCTGGGATGCACACATTACCTCAGCTACACACAGCTCCTCTCTAGACAGACATCTTCAAGGATAGCCACAGCCGCACTCACGGACGCCCCCGGCCCTCACCCACCTACACACACACGTGCACACACGCACCCCACACGCACCACCTCTCCACGAGAACAGTATAGACAGGATTTATAGCGCTCACTAGGTGCCAGCCACTGCATTAAACACTTGACACACACGACTGCATTTTATTCTCATAACAACACTCTGACGTATTACCATTATTGATAAGGCAACTGAGGCACAACGAGTTTTAGAGACCAGCCCGAGGTCACACACATGATGAATCCTGACATTTGGCTCCAGAATCTGAGCCACTTCTCTCCATCTTCTGGTCACAGACACGGATAATTACAGCCATTCCTGCCAGCACTCACAGAGGTCCAGAGCCCCCAGAGGGACACACCGAGATATACAGAGCCCTCTCCCAAGTCACAGACCCACACAGAGCACCTCTCTAAAAGAGACACAGATTTGTACAACCTCTTGGTTCCCCACATCGATACAAGGTTGCCACTTCCAAAAATACCCAGGTAAATATCACCACAACATTTTTATTTTTTTTCAATTCTTTTTTTCAAGTAGGCTTTAGGCTCAACGTGGGGCTCGAACTCACAACCCCGAGATCAAGAGTCGCATGCTCCACCGACTGAGCCACCCAGGCGACACCCCAACCACAACATTTTTAAGTCAGCCTAATGGGAGTCCCAAATTCTGCATGCTTGGAATGGGGTTGGGGTGGGGGGGTTCAGAAACGGTGAGCCTCTGAGGAGGAGGCAGAGGGTTCTGTGGGCTGAGGAAGAGCCCGGGCAGGGCGGACAGTGTGGGGAACAGGCAGTGGGGGGCAGCTCTCAGGACTTGGCACTCCCCAGCCTGCTGGGGACCGAAGTCCAGGGCTAGGCAAGGCTGTCTGGGCACCAGTATGCTGAAGGGGTTGGGGAGATGTGGGGTGAGGGGGTGGGGCACAGGGTCTGGCATCTGCATGGTCCAAGGCATTGGTGGGGGGCCACGCTGGATGTGACCACACTCACGCGGCTTTGTCAGAGGAAAGAAAGAGATGGGAGAGACAGAGAATGAGAAGGCAGAGACAGAGAGACAGAGACTGAGAGACACAGAGAGACAAAGAGCAACCCAGTGTGGTGTGCTGGCATACTGACTCTCAAAGGGAAAAAAAAAAAGGCCCTGAGTTGTAGCATTTGCTGATTTCCGTTGTATAAATATTCCCACCATGGCTGATTTCAAGTAACCGAGGTGACTTCTTGAACGCTGCGCTCGGAAGAGATTCACACAATCAGCTCCCCAGAGCCAGCTCCAGCAGCTCGCTGCCAGGAAGGAATAAAAAGAAAGAGACAAACAGAGACAGAAATGAGAAACAGAAAGACAACAGAGATACAGAGACCGAAAAAGAGAAAGGTAGAAATTAAGAGAAACTCGGGGAACTAAAGAGTCAAAGGCAGAGGAGAAAAGGCAGAAGCAGCAGGTTGGGTCCTCTGTGCTCAGGCATCTGCAGACAGATAGCCCCTAGGACTCTCCGTCCCCGTCCACCTCAGATCCTAAGTGGTGCCACCAACTCTGTGGACAGTGATTTGACTTCCTAGAAGTCTGGGTGGCAATAACTATTAGTCTAAATTTTCTAATTTATTAAATACTTAGTGCCTGGCATTGTGCCAAGCAATTGCCATCCATGATCTCATTTAGTTACCCCAGGAAGTAGCTTTTATTACTACCCATCTTTTACAGATAAGCAAACTGAGTCGCAGAGATCACACAGCAAGGGGAGGCTTAAACGCCATCCCAATCCATTTGGCTCCAATCCCACTCTAAGCACTGTTCTATTTTGCAGCCCTAGCAGAAGCAATAATGCGTGTCCCTTCAAGAGCACCTACAACGTGCCAGGCCCTGTGCTACATGCTCTCAGTCCCCCTTACAGCCCAGAGAGGGGAGGCCACCAGCAGTCTGGTCACTGCAGGGACCCGGGTCTGTTCATGCCTCTTAAACATCTGGTTGATAGGAGTTAGAGTTAGCTTCCAGAGCCTCATCTGTGTCAAGATCAGGTTGTAGGTAGTAGAGCTGAGGCCCATCCTGGACCAGGGTGCTCCTGACTTCAACATCTCTCTCTGCATGGCCCTCCCCAGCTCTGTTCTTTTACTTTTTTTTTTTTTTTTTTTAAGTAAGCTCTATGCCCCAGACGGGACTTGAACTCATGACTCCCAGATCAAGAGTCGCATGCTCTACCGACTGAGCCAGCCACACACCCCTATTCTTTATATGACACTATTAGCTCTGGGACCCTGGATGAATGATATCAGCCCTCCGAGCCTCAGTTTTTGCATCTGTACCTTCAGGGCAGCTGCTGGGAAGGCTCGAAAAGATGTGCCTCTTACCCAGTGAACAGTGGCCAAATGAGGCTGAAGACCGTAAGCAGCAAAGCACCAGGACCATTAATTCAGGTCCAGAGTTCGGTTCACACCGTGCCTGTGCTCTTCAGAGCCCACGCAGGAGGTCACGCTGTCCCTGACGAGTATACGTCATATTTCCAGCCCACGGCCAAGTGAACATACCACCCCTGCCATATGGCAGCGGGCCACTCAGCGGGGAGTCTGCCTCCGGCTTAGCCCTCCTCCTCAACATAGGAGCCCCAGCCCCATCCTTTCTTGAGGTCCACACTTCCCGAAGCCATGTCAGGGCTTTGATGTAGACCCAGGATGTCCTGTGCCCCCTAACCCCTGCCAAGTATCTGTGGGACCTGGAGACAGATTTAAGCTTAATTCTACACGGCCTGACAACTAGCTTGGGGAAGTCGGTTCACCTCTCTCTGAGCTGTAGCTTCTTTGCCTAGAAAATAGGAATATAAATCTCTACCTCATGGGGTTGCTTCTGAGCGTCAAATGTGAAAGCACCAGGACACAGGTGGTGCTCAGTGAACTTTCACTTCCGCTCCCTTCCCTTGAGGAAGGCCCCTCCGCGGCCCAGGGAGGGGGAGCGGCAGGGCGGAGAAGAGAAGCTCCCAGGGTGAGGTGGGAGTGCTGAGCTTGTTCAGTTGCCTGGGGGATTTCAGAAAGAGGGAACTGGGACTTTGGGCAGCAGCAGGAAACCACCATCCTGCAAGAGTTCCTGCTACTCTTCAGGGCTCTGCGCTGCCCAGGGGCAGGGCCCAAGTCTCAGCCGCACTGCGCCCCATGCCCTCATGGAGACCGGAGCCCTCTGACTGAAGGCTTCCATCCCCTCACCCACAGAGGCCATCCGCCCCTCACTGAACTCCAGTGTCTCTTACTAACCCCCAACTCTTTCATGGAGGCCTCGCCTCTCATTGAACCTCTAACCATCCCACACCATTCTTTCTTGAGGCCTTATAACACCCCACCCCTAACACCCAGGGCCTAAGAAGACATACCCCAGTCTGATTATACCACTGTGGGCCAGGTGTGGTGGGGGCATGTGAGGGAGGGGCCCTAATCTTTGCCACACTAGCTTTATTCCCCACAGGATTCCTGAAGGTGTCAGCCGAATTTTCTCCACTTGTGTGGGTAAAGGTGGTTTCTTAGCTGTTGCTGAGAAGTCACCCACCAGCTTCTAAGGGTCTGTAGGTATTCAAGATTTTGAGGAGATGGGAGCCATGGGTGGTCCAGGGGAGCTGAGGGAATAGGAGTCTAGATTCTAGTGCGGCCAGACAGGAAGCCTCTTCCCCTGGTTCCACCTTATATCAGCCCAAATCCTCAAACCAGGTGGTCTGCTGGTCTGCTTGGTGCACAAAGGGCCCCAGCTTCTCCTTCCCCAGCTCTGGGGTCCCCCTACCCAGCCTCCCAAGGTCTGGCCACTTCCTTTGCCACATTAGCTCCAGGTGGCTGTAGAGAACACCCAAACACCCACACATATGCTCACAGGCTCATGCTTATTCACTCAAAGCCCAAACCAAACTCACAAACACTCTGACACCTCACTCACAGTTTCAGGCCGACTGGGTTCATGCAGCCCATGACTGCCACACCTCCCACAGTTTGCTAGCCACCCACTCCTCTATCCACAAGGCTACAAGGGGTCTAGTAGGGATGAGGAGGGAACTCGGGCCTCAGCTCTGGCTACTTCTTTCATCACATCGGGGACAAGATGCTCTGGATTCCGAGTCCCTACTTTTGGCTCCATCAGTCCTTGACTGCTGAACCTCCCTCTT